GATAGGTTATATAACCCAGCAACTGTTAGCAGGCGCATGTGACTCCATCAAAGTCTCAGTGCAATACATCAGCTCCTCTTCAGTATCTTGTGTACTACAAGTACCTTTCAGAACTCTGAGCAATGAGGACGACAATTCACTATCCGTTTCGTCACAGCTCATCAAGGACTGAGGTTGGCACATGAAGTCCACCATTCCACGGAACGGAAGTACAAGATCATCTTCAAAATATTCGGGTATAATTGTGGGTCCATTCCTGCTGTCAACTGCTGTGGTGCCGCTCTGAGTGGGTGTATGCTGACCAGTGTCATAATAACCAATCTCATCTTCCTCTGCTGACTGTTGCTGAGTGTTTCTGTCATTTATAAGTGTGAGACTCCCACCTTGCCCTTGCTGAGGGGCAACAATGGACGATGAGAGATGGCTATTTTGCTGATTTAGTATTTCGAAATGCTCACTGCTGCTACAGGTACCAGGTTCGTGTGATGATGATGAGAATGAATGCTTTTTTGACTGTATATAGTCGGACACATTGATCAAGGATTCATTGTCCATCGGTTGATCTATCCAAGGATCCCCATCAATAGGCAGATCTTTATACTGGTCTACTGTAAGGTCACCAATGTTTTCGCAGTACTGCAATGACATAAACAGTAATTAATTAATTATGGAGTTTTGTTTTATCAGTTATTAAAGTTATTTGGCTACTATGCAATCATCTGATACAGCTAATGCAATGAGACATGCTTCAATTAGTTACTGCTACAATGTATCAAAGTATAAGTTAAAGTCCTTTGATGCTCCATGACTAAAGTAGTTTTTGATTAATTTTAATAATTTCTTAGTCTTGCATAGCCAGCCCCTCCCTTCGAGGGAGGGGCTGGCTATGCAAGACTCGACTAATGGTGGGTTTACTCTATGGTTTGGTTTCTGTGGTTAAATCTGATTAAATGGTTCAATTTATGATTAAATCTATGGTTTACTTAGGGTGGAGCCCAGACTGGGGTCATGTTTACTCACAGTATTTATTGAGCAATTGTCTTTGCTTTGGTCTCCACCACTATAAAGGAGTTATTGATAATGCAAAGCCATAGCTACATCATTCACATTACTCACGTTGCCATTGTACTTCTTTGTTTGTCACTTCTGTTGTCAGACAAACAAACAGTGAAACAGATCAGCGCTCGCAGCCACCAGTGCAATCCTCGCAATTGTCAATCGAATCTCGTGACAGTAATCAATGAATAACTAAAAGCCACGCCCTACTGTAATTATTGCACTTTGCAGCAGAAAAAATGTGCCAACTCAGTTTTTACGCCGCACACTTCCAGAAACTCAGAAAATTATCTATTGTAGATTATTTTATTCAAACAAAATGCTACTATCCTTAAAAATATCTGGATAGATTTATAAATACAATAGTTTCAAAAAATAAATAAAACTGAATTACAAAATAATAATAATGAAAAAACCAACGGAAAAATAAAAATACGACAGATACTACTTAGTCTGTTTACTACTTAACAAAAATCTCATAGTAATTTATAGGAGTGTCTTCATCATGATAATTGGCACAAACCCTTAATTCAATATAGTCAGTGAAGGTATTGCTGCCATAGTCTCTGTGAAACCATGGAATACCAGGAGCATTGCAACAAGCTGTTTCATTAGAACCACAACCTTGACCATCCCAGAGTGGATCAGAAGTGTAGAGAATTTGTGATGGGTTGCCACTAGTAGGATTACCTGATTCGCAGAAGTAGTTATTACCAATAGAAGGTGGAACAGATACTGTGCTACCAGTATTGCATGGACATGAGTTTGATGAAGAACCTACTTCACTATTGCCAGCCATTAGTGACCAGACATGTTGACGAGAAGGTCCATGAGTGATGATGGCACCTTCAACAATAATGTCCGGACTAGCAACAAGACCATCTATCGAACCATACAAATATCCTATTACTCTACCACACACCTGAGAATAACTGATGTTATGAGATGGGAACTGAACTGATATGCAACCATTGTGTAATGTTTTTTTACCGCATGCTCTAACTCCTCCTGACTGGTACAGACCAAACCCAGAAGGACAGTTCTGTGTAGCATCAGATATATCCAGATATGCTAGTCTTGTCCATCCACCATTAGAGTTACACAGCTCCTTCATATTGCAGTAAGCAGTATAAGTAGAGCTAGTATTTGACAGTAGGTACACACCTGATAGACTGAGTGGTTGCCTCTCCTTAATTTCTTTACAAGAGATAGGTATAGTAGTTGATTGATTGTGCAATATTAATAGTTCTTGTGCTATTAGTAGTATATCATTAGCCACTCCAGCAGTAGAGGTACCGGTATCTTCTAGAGTAGATAGAGCATCAACAATGTCCATTAGCTTTGCAGCAGAATTTCATGTAGTTTGTAAGATTTGTTCATTAAGTTCAGTTAAGTTTGGTGAGCTTTGAGGTAATTGAAAGGTATTCTGTGACACTCTATCAGTCAATTCATGATTGCAGAAGTCAGTATATTGCTGGTTACTTTGTTCACTATGTTATCAGCTGTAGGCCATTCAGAAGTTGCATCTCCAGCAGACAATAGCACAAGTAACAGACAAAGTATAACCACCAGGAGGAATACTATGAGACTCAGTAATATAGTAATAACGACTAATGGTCTGTTCCATGCTGAAGGCTGTGCTTTATTCTGTAATGCCACATTTATTGATTGAGGACAATCCTTTCTTGCATTGGTATTGATATCAACCAGCTCATAGAAATTCTCATGAGTTGGCTCAGGAACTAAAAAAAAGTGGTGACACATCCTCCCTTACTTCCATTTAGCCAATGAAATGAGCCCCACCCAGGCTGAACTTGCAATCGAGTGGGAGTGGTCATCCTTTGATCAATCGATCGGCTTGACGGCTTCTAAGGAGATTCGGCAAAGACAGCAATCTGTGATTCTATTGGTCCATATGATCTATCTTTCTCCTGCCCTGCTGGCTCACGTTACCAGGTATATATGGCTTTGGCATGCATGGAGATTTATGGTGATAAATCTATGTATTATGCATATGGGAACACAGAGAGAGGGAGAATAAGAGAGAGGCATCTCAATTTTTCGATTGATTTGGTCATACTGTATAGCCAAAAAAATCGTGATGAATAATTTTTTGTATTTTTGTGATCACTGTTTGCATCACGAAAAATTAAACCCCCGAAAATAAAGATTAATCAAAGGGTGTGGTCATACATTACATGCCTTACTACCATATACATATAGCTCCAAATTTTCGTCGGTCAAAATTTTCACCAAATTTGTCAGGTATTTTTTGCTTGATGAAATTTTTAATCGACAAAATTTTTGTTCCACATGAGTAGTATGCGGATTACATGTAATAACAAAAATGACGAAAATTAATTTTAACAAGAAATTGAGATTTTGACGAACTTTTTGACTCACGAAAATTTGGAGCTATACAGTAATACACGTGTATGTATGTGTGTACATGCCCTTGTGTCTATAGCTTTAAGCCTAGTGGCAAAGTCAAAGATGATCTCAGCAATCATTGCTGGTGTCCACACTGTTTTTCCACACTGGGAGGAACCTGGGATTCCTCCCCCCAAATTGTAGTTCCTCCCCCAAATATTCAGGGTAAATTTAATAGTGTTAATATATGTACTTGCTATAATTGACTGTTGTTCACTACAAAAAAGCTCACAATTGAAATCACGTGTATAATAGCTCATGACTGCCCTGGTAAAATTGACTTTTGCTTAATTAGTGCAATGTTCCAAAATAAAAATCCCCTAAAATATGCAATGCTATTGTTGATTTTTGTCGCATCCCTCTACAAAAAAATCCCGTTTGAATTTTATAAGTAGCTGTCATTATTTAATTGTTATTCAAATTACATGATTATCAGTTTTTGTACTTTTGTTTTCTTTGTTACGTATGTACATTTACAGTGTATGTTTATGTGTATTGTGTATGATAATGTAATCTGTTGCATCGATTTTTAACTATGTTAATCCTTATACATGTAGAGAGTATTACATTATTTGTCTGATTGTCACAAATTATATTTATTAATAATGATTATTTTGATTTTAAATTGAATCAAAGTGATAAATGATAATGATTGAGCCTAAGTGATTAATAGATCATACACAGTTTAATTGTTTAATCTCATCCAGTAATTAGTTAAGATTGGCTTAATGTCTTGAAAGAGGCAGCTTAGTGAATAAGCCACTCTGATTTAACCAGTGTGGCCTCCGTGTTTAGTATTGGCAGCACCATGTAATCATCATCATCTTGTTCCTATAGAATATACAATGTATTCATATCATGTATTGTATAGACCACTTTAGCTGAGAATAAATTACTTCAATAAAAGATATACATGTATGGCAATGAGTGTTACAGAAAAAGAAATAAATTCTATGTAGGACCATTTAATGTTGCACCGATGGCTGGGTTTCCCACACAGCATGTTAATTGAGCTACAAAGCATGCTTCATATGACCTGACAATTAGCTTTATATAAGTAGCTTATGGAGCAAATTTAAAATTTCATAAAAATCTAATTTTGATTGGAATCAGCTCAAATATTCTACACAGCATAAGAACATGTACATGTATTGGAAAAAATTATCAGAGCCATTTTTGAGAAAATTTGGCCAAAGACAAAAGGCTACATGTATTAGTTGACCTGATTTTTGAGCAAATTAAAAAATTTGTAAAAAATCTAATTTTGATTAGAATCAGCTCAAACTTTCTACGTAACATATGTATCAGAATACTTTTAAAGTGGTAAATTCCCTTCCAGTAATTCTTAATGAAATTTTGCCCTAGACCTTATAAAAATTGTAAAAATTTAGTTTTGATCAGAATTAGCTCAAATTTTCTAGAATTGCCAAAATACAACTCTACCAATTTAAAATGCTAGACTATACATGGACATTGTGAGATATGCTGTAGCTTACAAGTATCTTTTGTTCAAATTTTTTGTCCTCTCTCCCTTTGTTCCTTATTCCATTGTATACTGATATCCCAACATGTACTATCATCATTGCTATAAAGGCTAGGGCCAGTGTATTATCCTCTATAGTTGCTAGTACATCTGGAGCTATTATAATGATAGTTTAGACTATTATACACTGGTATTATTAGGCTTAACTTACATGACATTATACAATATGCCGCCATTTGATATCAGCCACGAGGAGTATATACACTGGAGGGAGGGATAACCACGCCCTATTAATATTCATTGTGAAAATAATTATGATATAGGGCAATTGGCTAGAATAATTGTTAGTTCAATCTTTTTTACGATATACATGTACTTGCTTGTATGTGCACATGTATATTTGTGATAATTTTACTAGTGCAGCAGTTTTGTTTGTTTGACCGCAGTAAAGCTCCTCAAATATAATATGCACATATGACTTTACTATTATCAATCATCGCAGAAAGTGATATTAATAAATTAATGATAATTAATATGATTGATGAATAATAGACAATAATTGAATACACTCATATTATACAAGTACATGTCATGTTCTATTAGTCATTGCAAGAAAATAATAATTATTAATAAATGGTAATTAACAACGATTGATAAATAAAATATTAATTGATAGCAATGGTTAAGTGATAAACAATGATTAAATACACTCGTGATATTATACAAGTACATGTCATGTTCTAATATTAGTCATTACAAGAAAATAATTATTACAAATGAATGTTAATTAACAATGATTAATAGATAAAATATTAATAATGATAACAATGGTTAAGTGATAAACAATGATTAAATACGCTTGTGATATTATACAAGTACATGTCATGTTCTAATCAAGTGCTGGTGTGTTGGGATTAAATATTGTCTCATTGAAGTATGCATGTACATGAATTGGACGATATGTTTGAGCTTATGTGTGTTTATCATTAAACCACCCACTGTGATTCAAAAGTGCGGGGGGCTTCTGTACATACTATTGGAGACACTGTATAATTATCATAGGGTGAATGTTCTTCCATGTCCTTTGTTTCATTAAGGTCAGTAGCCTCCTCTACATGTTTATGTATCTCTTGTTGCCCAACAAAACCTTCTTCCATATTCATTACAACTGCCTATAGCACACACAAGATTAGGCTTGCAACTTTGACATGAGCAGTAGCTTACCTCCTCACCAATCTCTCTCCCTCTGTCATTGTACAGTGCTAATACCACTAGTATTATTATTGCGGCTATAGTGCCTATCAATACATTAGTTGTGAGTATGTTCTCCTTTATTGATACATGCAACTCTGAGACAGTTTGTGCCACTTCAACTGGAGCTATTATGACAGTTAACACTCTATAGGCCAATAATGACAATAACTTACATATTATAAGCGCCATCTTATCTTCTTTGTAGAGATAACTCAGCACATGCAAGTACATGTACAGTACCACCCCCAATTATGATTTGCTCCAATAATTATTATTATTAAGAGCAATGCATTGGAATATAATTGCTTGAATAGGAAGATGTTAATCAGTTCACTATTACATGCAGTTATTATGTGTATGCACATACACACACACACACACACACACACACACACATGAACATAGATGTGTATGGGTATATTAGTCATTGTGTTACAACTTGTCAACTTTTTTGTAGCAAAAAGATTTATTTTAATCCTCAAAACAAGAAAATTAACAACACACATGCTTGTACATGTACTTAGTTTAACAATAGCAACCCTCAATAAATTAATGGGCTAATCTGGTACTAGTTTAGTATAAGAGTCTCCTATTAGTTTAAGTCTCTCCGTTATCCATATACTCTTTTCTTGTGTTCTGTCTTTATTTTCTTTCTCATCCATTAGATATGAATCATCATCATCATGATCACTAGTTTTCTTCTCCAATTTGTTAATTGTGGCTGGCATTGGACAAGGAGGAACAATGAAAAGCCCTCTGTTTGTGTTATTGGCAGGGAAGCTGCTCTCTTGATCAGCAGTAGCCTCTAATGTTATTCGAACAGGATTCTGAGACATCGTTCTGAGGTACTTGTCCAGACTCACTTAAAAGTTTCCATCAACTAGTATTCTACTGGGCCTTCCTTCATCCTCAACTTTGTAAAGAATAACTTCATTTTCCAGCTCATCATTGAAGACATTATCACCTAATGATTAACAATAGAGTGATGTATAAACCTTGTGATTCAGTTGTTAACATGCCATTTGGATTTTCGTCCAAGTTCTGAATTTCATCAGAGCTGCTTCCTCAACGACTCCTTCATCTAAAGTATGTGTAAGTAGAAAGATGGAATGAAGGAATTAGAGAGAAGAAGGAAGCATATAATTTATATGACATCAGAGAATGTTAAATTGTACACTATTGTGTTTGTAATGTACATATATGTATTAGAAAATGTAGTAAATTCTCTCCTGGTCATTTTGACAAAATTTGGCTAAAAACCATGTACATGTACATGTATTACAATACAGAGACTTTGGCCGGCCAATTTTTGAGCAACTTTAAAATTTAATTTTGATCAGAATCAACTTGAAGTACTTGTATAGTGCATACTGTGGCAGGAGTCACATTTGGAAAACTTATTATTAGTGGATTTTATAGTGGTAAGTGGTGACTCAGCAGATTGGACATGCTCAAAGTGAAACAAAATGGTACTGTATAGCGGAAAATTTTGGAGGAAATTAAATTTGGTAAATTTGCCATTTTGATAGCCATTCGCCAAAATAAAAATCCACCATTTTGAGCCATTATACGTATGCTCAATGGCACATGACCACTAATTCGCCAAATTAAAATTCGACAATCACCAAAATTTAGCAATTTGTCAAATTTTAATCCCTCCAAAATTTCCCACTATACTGTATTTATTTTGGTGGATGGCTGGATGCTCATTGTAACCTCCAATAGTATTTTCCCACCAATAAATTTCCTGCTACTGTACATGTTAGGGTTTTTATATTGAATTTACTCACTCTAAAATATACATTCATGCTATCAAAATTTTTTATTTTATAATAAATATAGTTAAATACATCTATGTATACATGTACAATTTTGAGAATGCCAATTAATGCCAATATTAATTGTCACATCATGACATCACAATGGAATGATCAGTTTAAACCTGCCAGCCTATTTTGACAGTTTCATTAACAAAAATTCCTTCTACACAATGCATAAAGCTTCAATGGCAGGATTAATACTTTCATCTTCATTATTGTCCTCATAATGAATTATCCTACCAAAAAACAGTATCATTATAAGCTTCATTTCATTACACTTACTCTTCTTCTTGTAAGTCGGCCATGTTAGAGTCAACTGTTGCTT